GGAAAAGTTTCAACTTGAAGTGAAAACTCGTTTAGGCTGTACAGCGTCGCCAATTTTCCATTTTAATGCGCTAAACTCACGAAATACTGAATCTTCATGGTTCAACAGACTAGTATACCCGAGTTGGTCAACGACACAAGGCTCAAACGAAAGCTTATGGTAAGGCAAACTTCTGGGAAAAGTTTCAACTTGAAGTGAAAACTCGTTTAGGCTGTACAGCGTCGCCAATTTTCCATTTTTATGCGCTAAACTCACGAAATACTGAATCATTGCGTTCGGAATTCAATTTTCTCCGTCTGTATCGGTCATTTACTATCGAGTCGTAATGTTTAGCCCATACTCATCAAAGTTATAGCCCATGAAGGTACGTTTTCCCCCAAAAATCTCGGAAAAACCATAATTTTATGTTAAAAAAATTAATAATAAATTGGCAACACTGCTTCGAAAAGTTTACGATGGCCTTTAGTTGCGCTTCTATTCGATCTCAGGGTAGTATTCAGCTCGTAGACCGATGAACTAGTTTGTTTAATTATGATGCATTGGACTATTAGTCCTGAACTTCTTCATTTTGGCACATAAAAATGGAAAATTGGCAACGCTGTACAGCCTAAACGAGGTTTCACTTCAAGTTAAAACTTTTCCCAGAAGTTTGCCTTACCATAAGCTTTCGTTTGAGCTTTCTCTCGTTGACCAACTCGGGTATACTAGTCTGTTGAACCATCGAAGATTCAGTATTTCGTGAGTTTAGCGCATTAAAATGGAAAATTGGCGACGCTGTACAGCCTAAACGAGTTTTCACTTCAAGTTGAAACTTTTCCCAGAAGTTTGCCTTACCATAAGCTTTCGTTTGAGCCTTGTCTCGTTGACCAACTCGGGTATAATAGTCTGTTGAACCATGAAGATTCAGTATTTCGTGAGTTTAGCGCATAAAAATGGAAAATTGGCAACGCTGTACAGCCTAAACGAGGTTTCACTTCAAGTTAAAACTTTTCCCAGAAGTTTGTCTTACCATAAGCTTTCGTTTGAGCTTTCTCTCGTTGACCAACTCGGGTATACTAGTCTGTTGAACCATGACGATTCAGTATTTCGTGAGTTTAGCGCATTAAAATGGAAAATTGGCGACGCTGTACAGCCTAAACGAGTTTTCACTTCAAGTTGAAACTTTTCCCAGAAGTTTGCCTTACCATAAGCTTCCGTTTGAGCCTTGTCTCGTTGACCAACTCGGGTATACTAGTCTGTTGAACCATGAAGATTCAGTATTTCGTGAGTTTAGCGCATTAAAATGGAAAATTGGCGACGCTGTACAGCCTTAACGAGTTTTCACTTCAAGTTGAAACTTTTCCCAGAAGTTTGCCTTACTATAAGCTTTTGTTTGAGCCTTGTCTCGTTGACCAACTCGGGTATACTAGTCTGTTGAACCATGACGATTCAGTATTTCGTGAGTTTAGCGCATAAAAATGGAAAATTGGCAACGCTGTACAGCCTAAACGAGGTTTCACTTCAAGTTGAAACTTTTCCTGGAAGTTTGCCTTACCATAAGCTTTCGTTTGAGCCCTGTCCCGTTGACCAACTTGGGTGTACTAGTCTACTTATGCACCGGACTAATAGTCCAATATCCTTGATTTTAGCACATGAAACTGGAAAATTGGCAACGCTGTACAGCCTAAACCAGGGGTCACTTCAAGTTGAAACTTTGCATGGAAGTTTGCCTTACCATATGCTTTCATTTGAGCACTGTCCGGTTGACCAACTCGGGTATAAAAAAAGGGGCGGAAAAACACCACTTTTTGGCGAGGCTCTTTGCATTCACTATAAAAATTTCAAATTGCGATTTCTCGAATTTATGAATATTTCTATAATAATCTCTTTTGAATAAAATATTGATAAAAAGGGGAGTGCACATAACATTATTCTTGCTACGTTACAAGAGATTTTGGTTACTGGTAAGTTTACTCTGGCTTTAGAAATTTCTCGTAGATCCTGTCTATTCTCCATCGAAATCAAAGTGGTTCTACAGAAAAAAAATAAGTGCTTTAAAGGGTGCAGCGCGCAATTGCTTGCATAAGCAAGTTTTTGTGATACGACTATTTGAGCTCCGGTGTGTAGCGGAGTATCATCATTATTTGAGGGCGTTTTGAAAAATGGAAGAAAGAAATGCATCTTAATATCTATACAGCATTTCCCCTCTCACTTTGTTTATTAATTTAATTGATCAGCCCACTGCCATGCTAAGAATCGACTATTTTACATACGTTTAAATCATGATTTCAAGAATCATTGACGTCCTGTAATCGATAACTGCGCATGACCATTGACCAAACTTTACTTTCAATTAAGCGCCCTGTGTAAGCGGCCGCATACGATATACCTACTGACAGAAAATATATACACTAATTCTGATAATCCCTCCTAGATACTTTGAACTACAATCTGTCCAGATCTGGGTTCATATCTGCTCTGCCGTACCTGGTCATGTCCATCGTGATTCAAGTATCCGGTGCCGTGGCCGACTGGTTACGATCCACTCATCTAACCACCACTCAAGTAAGTTGGAGAACTTAATCTTAGACCTTCCGACGGGCAGTTGCGCTGGTAAAAATAATATCTTGAGAAATAATAGGAATAATAGGACGTACTTCTGCCAAACGGAACTATGTGCATTATGGCATGAGCCCTGTCAGGCATACATTCTTACGGGTCTCTGGGCTCATGTCTTAATGCACATAGTTCCGTTTGAAGGACATACGTCCAATAGGTCTTGTAGAAATAGAAGGATCTGTGTAAATAGCAACTCACTACATTCAAAATTAACTGAGATATCGCGCTTTGGAAAATTCGGTTTATGACGTCATCCACCGCGGTAGCGACACCCTTGGTTTCTTCCACCTTTCTTTCATTCGAGTTTCAAGTCGAGTAATCAGTGAAAATGCGTGTCTCCCTGACAAATGAGATCAAGGTGGAAGAAGAAACCAAGGGCGTCACTACCTATTGGCAAAATGGAATATTGGGATTTGGATTAAATCAAACGGAACCAAGCTCCAAAATATGTGGCACTCATGAGCCGTGGGCTATAAAAAAGCGTCGTGGACAGGGCTTATGCGTTTTTTTTTTTTTTTTTTGGACGAATTTCAAATAGCCTACATTGGCTAATCCCACACTTACCACCAGCCTCAGGTGATCATTGTCTGAGACCATCAAAGTGAGGTCACCCTGGCCGGGAAACGAGCCCGGAACCTCTTGGTTATAGGGTCAGCGCTACAACCACTACACCTCAGGAGGCCGACAATAATGCGGCGTCGTCGTCGAGGTCATCGAGCCCGGTTTTCGCCGCTGACGTCACTGGTGCTTTATAATCTCCATTCATTCTTACGGACCTCCACTCTAACGAGCACCCTCCTTTTTTCCCACCCGTCTTTCAGTGACGTGGCGTAAATTGCGATTCATCGATTTTTATGTCATTTAAACTTATGGTAACGAATCGATTATAAAGGTGTTCGCTGCGAACACCCTGTTTATCGATCCTTTTCCATAGGTTTAAATGGCCTAACAATCGATAAATCGCAGTTCACGCCACGCCACTGCCTTCTTTGGTTCCTTTGAGCAGAAATACGTCTAAATATACTATAAGGCGTCATAATATTATTAACATAAATCTTTGTTTAAAATAAGTGTTAAATCAATTATTAATTTATGATTGCATTCATTTAAAATTACAGACTCGAAAACTATACACTGCCACAGGTTTCATCAGCCAAACCATTTTCATGTTCGCTGCATCCCATCTGACCCATCCTGCTGCCGTCATATTATGTCTCGTCCTGGGTTGCGGGCTGGGCGCTCTTGCTTTGACTTGTTACAGGTATCTCAAATGACTAAATTCATGAGGGATGCTTTTCACTATAATGAACCTAACTGTATTATATGGCTACATGGCGTCATTTTATCGCAAGTTTTATTTTTCGATCAGACACTCAGAAACATTGTGCCTTGTATTAATTTTAACATGTATTTTTTTTTCTTTTTTTTTCTTTTTTTTAGGTAAAATTGGTAGGAAGGTTTAAAGAATTACATTGCTTGATTTCAGGTTCAACAAATTTAGCAGAAGAAAAAATAAGGCAGAGTTAAATGCAGTTAGGGTGATTTCGAAGAGAGCCTTCTAAGTGATGCAATCATCATTCGAATTGAAGCTATATTACTTAAGTGGAGCAAACTTTTGATTTTGCCTTGGAATTTTTTGTACATTTTAGAGGGAGTAGTACTAACTATGCTGGTAACACTGCGAAAGTAGCCATGAATAATTTCTCGAAACTTAGTGTTTCTTTTTAACTTAGTAGGTTTCGTAGAATGAAAAAAAAAATCCCAATCTGAAGCAAAACGAGTTTTCATAGATCACCGCCCGTGAAGGGGGCTCTTGAATGGGCCAATAGACCATTCCTCACAATTTTAAGAATTAATTATAATTTCACTTCTCTTATTAATTAAATGCCACGTGTTTTTATTCCATTTCAGTGTAAACCACTTAGACATTGCCCCTCAACATGCTAGTTTATTGATGGGACTTTCAAACACTGTTGCCACATTGCCAGGAATAATGAGTCCAATAGTAGCAGGATATATAGTTCAAAACAAGGTAAGAAGTAACACACTTGAATACATTTTCTAAATGCAACCTTTAACTCAAGTAGAATAATTTTTTAATACATTTTCACTATTTTCTCCTCTATCTCCGCAAAATACTAAACTTGGTTATTTCTACTCATTACTCATACCATTGAAAAGATACGAAATTAATATGAAATTCATCCGACCACGTCCTGACTTAAAATCTTAGAGCCCACAGTTTTCATGATCAAGATCCGACCTATCTTTTACTTAAATTTTTTCTTTTTTTGCGTGAAAGGGTTTCATTTAAGTATTCAGAGTTCGGCGAATAGGGATGGCAGTTGTCCCTTCCCTGGTAAACTTTGGCAGAATCTGTGTTTCAAAATACCATAGACCTAAAGCCGGCTGTAAGATTTTCAATAGCTAGCTTCTATAGCCGGCTGCACAATTTCTTATAACCTTTTTTAGCCGATGGCGATTGAGCAACAGCCAGGCGATAAAGTGTATGCTAAATGTTACTAATTACGGATGCTAGGACTTAGTGAGTTTTTGGACTACCACTCTGTTTTTGGGCCGTAGTATCTTGATTTATTTTGCGCGGAAAGCTTCGTACTTTTGAAGGATGCCTTCCATTCCTATGGCAAGCGCCTTCAAAGGTACTTAATATGTTGGAGCGCCTTCAATTTCGTATGATACTTGCAATACCTCTGGTGTGAAATAGTTGCTTCAAGCGCCGTGGCTCGCTGCGGCGCGGCGGGCGGGCAGCCAGCGCGAAAAGCGCGTTAGCGCCTGCAAACCTAACTACGATACTTCACGCATTGCGCAATGCGTGAATCTACAGAAAAAATTTAAGTAAAAGAGAGGTCGGATCTTGATCATGAAAACTGTGGGCTCTAAGATTTTAAGTCAGGACGTGGAAAAGCGCATTAGCGCCTGCAAACCTAACTGGGATACTTCACGCATTGCGCAATGCGTGAAGTATCCCTGTTAGGTTTGTAGGCGCTAGTGCGCGCTTATCGCTGGCAGCACGCCGCGCCCCGCTCCGCTCAGTGTTAGGCTCCAATAAATAATCTCGAGGAGTCAGCGTTTTTCAACTCATGATTTTGAAATGTTTGCACATCCTGTCGGGATTATTCTCATTTTAATTGATGGGGGAAAAAATATGTATTCAAGGAAAATATAATGTGGGTTTTGTAAATATTATGGTGGTTCCGTATCAAACTTAATGATTTCAAAAGCACACGAATTCCTACTCAATTTCTTATAGCCTTTTATAGCCGATGGTGATAAAAAGTAAAGCCTGGTGATAGGAACTATAGCCCGGCTGTATACTTTTTTATAGCTTCGTATAGCCCGGCTATATGATTCGCTCCGCTTTCTACAGCCAGCTATATGATTTTCTATTGCCTTCTATAGCCGGCTTTAAGAATTCCTGTGGTATTTTGAAACGCAGCTCCTATCGCCAATTTTTACCAGGGTTCTCAGAAAAAAAGAGTTACACAGATTAATAGTAGTAAGACTGTGGAAAGGCTATTAATACTAAGTACACCAGTTATAGAAACCTCTGTTTTGACCGTTTAAAAAAAGACAATCTTCTTGTAAACATGTAAAGAGTAAGCAAAAGCCTTTGATAAATTCGCTCGGCCTAAAGTTGAGCAATTTGTGGAACAAATGATAGTCATTAATATCATTATTTTTTGTTCATGCGATGTTATAGAAACCATCCGAGTGGCAAAATGTGTTCTTGATCGCTAGTTTTATCTACCTGTTCGGAGCTGTATTCTACGTGATCTTTGCCGACGGAGAGATTCAACATTGGGCGATGGAAAAGTCAAAGGTAAGAAATAAAAATCCTGGTGTTGCCTTAGAGGAATCAGAACCTATACGGTGACCGTGTGCAACGCAGTAGAATTTGTTTAACAATAGAAAATCTGAAGGATGTAATTAAAATTAGGTACTTAAACGTAATTTCACCTTCCCTAATTTCCTACTATGTTCTATATTCCAACAGGAAATTAAAGAACGAAGTGCAATGGAATTTTTAATAAACTTCCCCATTCTTTTTGAAAACTTTATTATCAAAAATGGAAAAAAGTTCATCGATGTGAAATTCAGCTAACACTAACTAAAGCCGATGATCAATAAAAAGTAAAAATTAAAAAATAATTCATCATGTGTTTTTATCCCTTCAATCCTTTAAATAAACTTGAATACGAGATGTCCTCGTAAAAAATAGTCGGAAGATTTTGATACATATAACCCAAATTGTTGCAGCGCACAAATTAATTATTCTTGCATTACCAATAACCAATTTTTGTTGCACTTCAATTTATTAGTGCAGTTCCAATTAGGTTGCAGCACCATTTTGTTGTGCACAGCATCAATTTTGTTTTGCGCAACATCAAATTGGGTCAGCATTATCAGGGAAATCATTCTTCCTCATATTTCTGTGTTAAATACACGAATATAATCTATGCATTTCAATATGTTGATTTTCGGCGGAGCATTAAATTCCGAAAACCTGCATCAAATCGTTTCACAGATATCGTTTATTGTTTTTTCAGGACTCCTGGAGACAACAAGCTGCTTTGTCTGAAGCTGAAGAGTCCACACGACTAAATCCTCCTGCTACAACCCCAGAGGAAGAAACAGAGTGCGCTCAGCGCAACGAAGAATGACTTGGAAATTATTTTGTAAAAACAGCAGACTTCTTGCTTATTAATTTGTTAATCCTTTCATATGACATAAAGTCCATTCTGTATGGTTGATAATGTACAGCACTGAAAAAAAAAAGGATTGGTAGAATTTACCATTCCTTCACGCTGTATTTCACGCACCGTCAATTGGACCGAGTTCATCAGAAAAGAACCAACCCACATAATGTTTAAACTGAGAAAAAGAGGTTTGAAGTTGAATTCCTGCATGAGGCTGAATGTAAAAAAGGAACTTCAACCCCTCTTTTCTTAAACTAATTTCTGTTTTTCAACTTTCAATTTTTGACAGGAGAAAATATACGGCTAGTGGAACTCGAAAACATTCTTAACTCAATTTTTTAAAAAATGTGGGTTGGTTCCTTTTTGATAAACTCGGTCCAATTCAGAGTCAATTCTGCCATAAAAAAGGTAAACGTTACCGTATACTGGTACAGGTAACCATTCCTCTGGCAGAATCTACTTTGAATTCATGCTGTGTGAAATACAGCGTGAAGTAATGGACATTTCTACCAATCTTTTTCTCAGTGTATAAAATGGACGCACTTATGCTAAAAGAAACTATGCTGCACGCAGACCAGATGAAAATAGTTCCTTAAAGCATAAATACGTCGTCCAAATGTCGTATGTAGGGTATTAGCTCCATACATTAGACCACAGTGAGAGTCAGCCACACATCAGACGCTGGCCTAACGAATCACCACATCGTTAAAATTAGTAATATTTTGACCCCATATTGAAGAAAAGCCGAGTCGATTGACCATAGTAGCTCGAGTCAAATGAGACGCCCTTTTAGCAGCAGTTATAGTAGCTGAATGGCTTGTTTGAAGCAGGGCGTAATCAGCAGTTTCCAGAGAACATGAAAAAAATTGATTTCTTTTCGACTATTCCTCATATGTCTTTTCGCATTACTTACTGGCAAATTTTCTAAATACCATCTGTAGTAAAACCACGGCGAGGAGGATCGGACTAACTGAGCAAGAAACAAAACATTTTGAAATTGTGGTGGATACGCCCTTCCTTTACAGAATACTTCTCAGTATACTGCCATTTTTACCAGTATTATGACTATATAAAGTAACATGTGTGTTCGATTAAAATATTAAAAATCACGGATCGTTCCCTAACTCATGGTTTTTATCATTACGGAAGCATCATATCTTTGGGTAATGTGCGGGCTCGGTAAATTACCCTTATCATTAAAACATAGTTAATTCATTTATTAACAGTTGATTTTGAACTTTTCGAACATTTTTAATAGCTTTGGCGTGTTTTAACACGAGAATGTTTCTATAAAACCTGAATCCTTAACCTGCCGGGTGGTCCATTCTCGTCAATTTCTGATCAGCTCCACTCAATAAGCGCTATTTGCGACGGCCAAAGGTGAAGTTGGAAGGGAATATTGCAAGAGGATTGGGAAGAGATTCTGCAGGCGCAGCCAGTAGTGCAACAGCGGCAAATGCAAGGCCGATCAGTCTGAGAAGTTTCATGGTATTGAGTGCACTCTGACAGGAACGTTAAAATACGAGAAAAATTAAATAAAGAAAATAACACAAAACGAAGAAATACAGATGCCTCTTGTTGGAAAATTTCTGAGGGCTACTCAAAATCATTTCCTCAATTCAACGATTTTGTGCTAAATATCTTACGTTTTTACTATACGTATTTTATTCCGTAAAATCTAGACATACATTGAGCAAAAAATCGGACAGTTGAAATTCTTTCGGGTCCCAAAACGGCCGCTGCGGCCGCATTTTATTCAAATTAACGGTCTGGCGTTGTCGGCGGCTGTCCTCTTCCGCGCTCACTTTACTATTCACTCCTAAGAGGACATTGCTGCTCATTCAGATCACATGTGACAGAGGAGGATCATCTCGATTGCGGTGTTTGAATCATACACGGAAAAAAATTAAATGTTGATTTAGCATTTATACTGTTAAGAAGATGTCCGACAAGTTTTAAATGCTGATTTTACATTACAAAAATGATAACATAACATTTTAATTTGTTCGTTTTGCAGCGGGCGTGATTACGTTAGCATTTGTTAAAATGTAAAATCAGCATTTGAAACTTGTCGAGCATCTTTTTAACAGTATAAATGCTAAATCAATATTCAATTTTTTTCCGTGTACATCTTCAGCTTTATCTAGATGGAATAGTAAACCGTTTTTGTTTTTTTATAGATCCATTCTCAATTCTATTGGAAAAAGACCATTAAAATGTCTGCACATACACTTCGTATTTTTTAAAGCAAAGAGAAACTAAAACACTATATTTATTGAGCTGGATTCCTTATTTTAAATGCGATCCATCTATTAAGAGGGCTTCCATGCCGTATCTTGTAGACTTTTGTCTCAGAATTTGTGTCAACCTTACGAATGTATTCAGTCCTATCCAATGAGAGTCAAAAGCATTACTGTGACGAGGCGTGAATGATAGATTTACGATATTTCCCCATTTGAAGCCATGATAAAGAATCGATCATCAAGGTGTTTGTTGCGATCGTCTGGTTTTCGATCCTTTCCATAGGTTTAAATGGCAGATCAATCGATATATCGCAAAGCACGCAGCGCCACTGATTTCTTAAGCAACTCAGGAAGCAGCTATGAAAGGACTCAACATGGTTTTCATAGTCACTAAAGGAGATTTGAGGAAGCCTTTGATGTAAAATCATTAAAAGGTCAATTTGTCCAAATCTGACGTAAAAGTAAAGAGTTAGGCCGTGGCAATTGATTCTTGCGATGGACTAAAATGATCTGTCATCACAAAAAATACAAAATACGAGGTGCGTCACCTTATCATCTCGTTGCATTATGATCCGGCAGTTTCATGCTCCAAAGATGGCAGATCACAGTAATTTGACATAGCTTTTTCTTAAGACTACGCTTCTTGGACCAAAAAGAGCAAAATTCCCATATAGTCCCCCATTTTTTAGCATTTTTTGTCGCATAATTTTTGTGGTTCATTCCTTCGTGAAGTATTAAAATAAAAAGGTATAATCTGTCTCTTGTAGAGATTCAATTTTGTAAAGTATCCCGTTTTTCTATCGTTGATCTATGAGATGCGCTTTTTGGGTGCTGAATTGAATGATAAGGGTGTACATATACAAGAGCAACAGAAGTTCAATGCATTAAAGTAAAATAACTTACCAGAATGCTACGAATTAGCGTGCAGTAAGTGGCTGGTGAATTCACAACGCAAACAACGACTATGAAGCAAGGCTAAAATAATTAAGCTGCTGCACTGCTGCAGTTCTATAGATATGCATAGGATTTCTTGAAGGGTGGACCGGATGATTTGCTTTGTTATTTCCTCATTTGCATTGAGAAAAAGGAAGTTTTTCTGAGTTTTTGTTTGTAAATTCGTTTCAACTTTTTTTTATGAATATTCATTTTTCTGCATACTTGCCACATGCACCTTTGCGAATTAGCTTTTGTTCATTTTTACATATAGAGCACTAAGATATGTAAAGCCATAGTGTGAGTCATTGTTTTGCCACAAACTCTCGTGAAAACAAAGAGAATATACAGATTAAACAAGCTCTAAGGTCATTTAAGTAGCCTTCAACAGCAACCTTGTCATATTCGATAACAATTTCGCTTATTTAATTTAAAACGATTTTTAGGCGATGTTAAGTACCCTTATCTCGGAAATTTTTAGACTTCATACCTTTTTTCAGCCTCTTTACCTAATACTTGCATTTCCGAAATTTATGCCAGTGCTTTACTTTTCTAAAAATCCATTAGTTATGCAATTTTTTTCAAAGTATAACCCAACAATTTCACATACATTTTTAGAGAAACATTTCAGGAGGACAGCATCGACGGTGCAAGTTCGCAAGCACGTATCTCGGTTTGCGACATCGCAGACTTCCTCTTATACTTTATTTTTTGAATGAAAAACTACTCAACGACAATTCTTAAAAACTGCCGTGATTTTTCTTTTCAGTGCCAAGAATATTCTGCGAGAACTTCAAGGAACGATGTCGATTTGTTCTCCTTTAGAAAAATAAAAAAAGGAGCTGAGATTTTGAAACGCCGCAAACGAGATACGTGGTTGCAGACTCACGCCGTCGACGTGTTTTTTCTCACAAAGAATTTAAGCATGACAGAACACATTCAACTTCTTAAAGCAAGGTGTACTTGGATCTCCACCGATACATTTGCGAAATCCAGAAAATGTTCATCGGAGGAAAGTTATGAATATTTTTCCTTGAAATTTTCAGAAACTTTAGGTAAAATTCCGAGCAAAATTATCTGAAAAATTTGAAAGAAAATATTCATAAGTTTACCAAGAAATTCATGTTTTATCAAAGGAAATTTGGCAACGTCTGAAGGCTCATACGACGTTTTTCCTTAGCACGGCAGTATTATTCTGGTATTATGCCCGAACATTACCACACAAAATTGCATGACCGTATCTTAACTTGTCAACTCATTCTTGTACTGGTGTTTATTAGAGTTCGACATTTTTGACTCTAATTAAAATGTGAACTCTTTGGCGTTGCTTCCCCTCGAAATAGACGTGTTTATGCTAAATGGAACTAAGTGCAAGTGGAAAGATGGGGTGTGCTCGTTAGTGATATGGCCATAGGAATGAATGGGAATTTAAAAGCGCCGGTGACGTCAGCGGTGAGGACTGAGGCACGACGGGAGCGACGACGACTAGGTCGTCAGTATTTAACTCATGAGCCCTGTCCACAACGCTCTTGTCACGTGCCCACGGCTCACGAGTTAGGTCTAAGTTCCTTTTGTTTTAATTGAAAATCCCGCTTTTCCATTCTCTCAAAAGGAACTTATCCACTTTTACATTGATAATTATGCAGTTTCCACGAGCACACCCCATCTTTCTACTTCCACATAGTTCCATTTAGCACAAATACGTCCAAATAGTGTCGACCTAGCGCTACATTACCACCTTGTTATTTGCATAGTTCGAGCCACGTTTCTTAGTGCTTTTTTCCCTCTTTTGAACTAAACTACTGGATTACGTACGAGGAAGACCGCCAAGCTGTAACAAAAATAAAAAAACTGTGACCAATTGGAAAAAGCCATTGTGTCACTCACGGCGTTTTTGCATCTGCATCATCATTTGAGCACGTCCATATCGGCTTTTAGGTATCGAAGAGAAATGGTCATAAAAACAAAAGCTTCAATCACAGACATTGTGACGTGCATTGAGCATGACTTTGCCTAGGTTATACGTCACTGGTAGTTGTCTCGAAACGATGGGCTCGAGATTAGTGGATGCGCGGTGAAATTAGCTACCCCAGTGAATATCCCCGTGATGTTGGTAATTTCTTTGATAATCCTCCTAGTGTTCGC